ACTTTGATTTTCTCAGTAGATATGAAAATAAATTCCTTTGTTCTTTTTCATTAAATTTTTATTTACCTTGAAGTTAATAAATCTCTTCTCTAGGATTCCATTTTGTACATGGTCTGCAAACTGGACTGCTATGGAAAAACTGTCCCACAAACCTGATGATGAATATGTAAAGAGCCCACTGGGGGAAAAATTGGAAGTGCAGAGGTCATTCAGCAAAGAAATGTCCAAGTGGAAGAAATATAATTACAAGGAGTTTGGTAATACTTCCTTCTTGGAAATAAAAATGACAGGGCAGTAGACTAGGATGAGATCTTTCTTACTATTTCTTCCTCACACTATCATAAGAGAATAAAACCCTGGAAAAGAGAAGACTTTGGAATAAACAAAGAATTAAAAGGTTTTTGATGTCAGTTCAGAAAGATGGCAGGGGTTTTTACAAGAGAGCACTTTGAAATCCAGTGAGAGGCAAGGTGAAATATAAAAAGAAATAACAACAACACTTTGACATTCTGGCTATTTTGCTGCTGTTACGAAAAATTTCAAAAATATACAAAAAAGTATAGGCGACAGTACCATCATTCAGCTTAAGCAATGATCAACTCAAGGTTAATCTTGTTTCATCAAGATACATTTTGAAAAAAACATATAAACTGAAGTCTGAGGGCTTATTTCTTTGCAGTACCTGGAGTCCTACATTATAGGAAGTAAGCCGTATAATTTTAATTATGGTAGACTACAGCTGAAGATAATTGTCCTCTACTTATTATTGTTTCTCAGACACTGCCACTTAATGTCTTATCTTTCTATGATTTTATAAACTTAAAAAATGAAATTTAAGTTTTTTCAGTTGTCTATTCTAATATACTCAAATGTTTTTAAAGAACATATACTTTAGTCCTAAAAATACCTTTCTGTTCTGAGATTGTGATTTTTTTTTTTTTTTTTGGTATCAGGATACATTGAAATATATTAAACATATTGGTTTTAGCTAAGATAATTTAGCTTTAATTAAAATTCACTAGTGGTTTGTTGTAGATCCTAATTGCCACTTAAGAATAATCAATCTTTACAAAATACTTACCAATATTAGCATAATATTTCTTTTCTTGTGTATTTGTAGATAGCTCATACATGTCTCCATAAGCACGAGCAAGCCGCCACATAAACTCTATTTCATCTCTAAACTGAAAAGAAAAGAGAAAGTGGCACATTAGATTAACTCAGTAACTTATTTAGACTATAATTATTTTCTACTGAAACTTGTAAAAACTCAGGCAGGAAAATTGATATTCATAGATGACTAAATCTAAATATACATATTTAAGTATGAAACATTTTAAATCCAATTATTCATGGCTAAGAAATGTGACCTAATATGGTGTTACATTTGGATCTTAAAACCAATTCATATTATCCAAACACTAGCTCCACCTATTGCCTATGCAGAAGAGAGAATGGATAGGTGCCAGAATCTATACATTTTCCTGGGCTGTGGTATCCTCTTCTTTTTCTTTCTAAGTTATCCACTATCAATATAATAGGTCAGTGAGCATTTCGGATAATATCTATAACTGAATTGCATATACTCAAAAGAGCAGTTATATTTTTTACCTAAATTACGGATAACTGTAATCCTAAAGATTTGATAAGTTTCAGACAAAGTGTTTAAACGTGTTTTTAGTTGCTAAATCCTCAGATATTGCAAACTCTTTTTTTTTTTCCAGTGTTGGTGGTGAGAGGAATAGGCTTTTCCGATTCAGGCCTAATATGACCAAATGACTATTGACAGAAACAGCTTTAAATACCGATAGCTGTTACACTGATAACTAGACGGAAAACTTAAAATGTAGTTTTCCCTCTCCCCAGAGAAGTAGTATATACGCTTTGGCATACTGCCTCATGCTTTATCTGTTTTAAAATATTTATTAAATAGACAAACTAGTAAAAATCAAACAAAAGTAAATCAGTATAATTATATCTCTGATTCTCATTTTTATGACCATAGAGTCTAATAAACTCTATTTACTTTTAAAAATTTTAGTCATTTTATAAAAAAGTTTTGCATCAATTATTTAGCTTGTATGAACTGCGGCATCATTATTATGGTCATAACTTGAATAAGATGATAGATTAAATCAAAAACTAAAGCTACATGAAATGTTATTGTCACCTATCTCTTACCTTTTCTTTGTGGTCACAAAGTAGTTCAAAACTCTCCAACTTGCCAGATTCGTCCATACGTAAATGATCTGCCTTCTGAAGAAGGACATCTAACTTTAATTCTTCTACATGTGCGTTAAATGCTTTAGAGATTGGAAAATTCCGTTCTTCTGTATCAGTATTAGCTGTAATATACCTAAAATTGCAGAAATAATTGTCAACTCCTTTGAATGTTATGCATAATAGCCAGAGTAATCCCTTTTAAAATGCAAGTCAAATCACGCCCCTCTGATACTTGAAACTCTGCAATGGTAGTACCTCCTATCACTCAGAAAAAGCTCAAGTCCTAACAACAGTCTACAAGACCCTATTTAAATTAACTTTCGACTTTAACTTAGTGTTTAAAAATTAATACTACCCCCCCATTTTATTTTTGGTGGCATGTAAGGCAAACAATTTATTTTTATTTATCGAAACCCTGCTGGTTCTAAAAAACGTTTCAAGGAGGTATATAAAGATATATAACATAAAAGAGAACAAATTAGAAGTAGTGAAAAAAGATAAAAACAAGGCCAAATGTGAATGAATTCAATTAAAAAAACACATATTTTAGATATCTACACCTTTGCTACAAGGGATACAAATGTGGTTCTGCATTTTCTAGCAGTCAATGCAATCAGTCACATAACTTGCAATTCCCATTAGATACAAACAAAAATACAAACAAAACAACTTCTTGGAAGAAGTGTTAACTATTTCCAAATACTAAGACTTAAAATAAATTTCTTTCAAAGGCCTGCTAAAAAAGATATTATATGAACTGATATCTAACTTCTTCAACAACATTCTTTATTAAAGAAAACTCTATTCTTTCAGTTGCCCAAACCAAAAACCTGGAATTATCCTAGACTCCTCTTTTTTTCTCCTAAGCAATATCCAGTCTGTTAGCAAATCCTGTTAGTTGTACCTTCAAAATACAACCAGAATCTAGCTACTCTGCCCACCTCTCCCCACTACCAGCCTGGGGTATTAAAATCCAAGCTGGCATTTTTTTCTTCCAGAAATTGACAAGTTGATTCTAAAATTCATATGGAAATGCAAGGGACCAAGAGTAACCAAAATAATCTTGTAAAAGAACAAGTTGGAGGATTCATACTTTCTGATTTCAAAATCCACTACAAAGTTACAGCCATCGACAGAGTGTAGCACTGACATAAAGATAGACATATGAAAGAGACATTAAGGATGTATTAAGAATTAAGGGTTCCAGAAATAAATTCTTACATTTATGATCAATTTATTTTGACAAGAGTGCCAAGACAATTCAATGGAGGAAATAATATTCTTCAACAAATAGTGCTGGGACAAATGGATAGCCATGTGCAAAAGAATAAAGTTGAACTCTTATATTACATACAAAAATTAATTCAAAATGTATTCAAAACCTAAATGTAAGGGCTAAAACAATAAAATTCTTAGGAAAAAACACAGGAATGAATATTTCTGAACTTGAATTAGGCAATAGTTTCTTAGATGTAATGTCACAAGCACAAGTGACAAAAGAAAAAATATAAAAGTTGGAGTTTATCAAAAGGAAAAACTTTGGTGCTTCAAAGGACACCAATAAAAAAGTGAAAAGATCATCCACAGAATGGGAGAAAATACTTATAAATCATATATCTGATAAGGGTCTTGTATACAGAATATATAAATAACTTTTACAATTCAACAATAAAAAGACAAATAAACCAATTTAAAAACGGGCAACTCAGCAAATAAATTAAAAACCACCAAGCTGTACAATTTAAAAGAATAAACTATGATATATAAACAATAGCTCAATAAACCTGTTATTCTTTATAAAAATATAAACTTAAATGTTCCTGTAGCCATTAAATAAATTAAATCGAAATTATATATCCCTATCCTTCTCCTTCCATCTTTATCTTACTCTCTCTCTCTCTCCCATGCATACACACAGAATAGTTTTATGGTGAATTCTACCAAATATCCAAAATTTAGACTTATTTAAATTCTTCTAAGGAATTATTAAAGAGGAAACATTTCTCAGTTTATTTTATAAAGCTAGTATAACTGATACCAAAACCAAACATGGATATTATAAGAAATAAAAATTATGGGCCAATCTCCCTACAGGTCATTATTTATAGATTGCTCAACAGAATAGAAAACCTAAAAGAACTAATTAAGATTTATGATCAATTCTTCAAAGTCAATTGTGTTCTTATACTCTATAAAACAAGTTAGAATACGTAATTTTATAAAATATAGCATTTATAATAGTAGGAAAAATATAAGGTACCTATGAAAAAAAATTCCATAAACGTTTTTAAATTTTTCTGTAGAAAATTGCAAAATATCATCTGAGAACATTAAAGATTACCTAAGTAAACGGAAAAAAGGTATTCATGGATAGGAAAACTTAGTTTTAAAACAATTTCATATGGCTCCAAATTAATCTATATTTATGATGCAATTTTAAGCAAATTCCAATAGGATTTTCCTATGGAACCCATCCTTAAGATTAATATGAAAGGGCAAGTGTAAGAAGAGCCAACACAATTTTGAAGAGCAGATATCAGAACTATATGAATGTAGAAAGGATGTATAAAGGATAAAGCTGTAGAAATTAAGTCAAAATGGTATTGGCATAGCAATAGGCAAACTGGCCAATAAAACAAAAGTGAACATCTAGGCTAGTCTCTTTCCCACATTAAAAAAAACCTAAGTGTGGAAAAATTGCTTTCCTACTTTGGACAGGGATCTTCTATTTATAACTGGGTATTTCTCAGAAAATTGTAAGAAAGTTCTGAAAGCCAATTTAAACAGTAGAGCATATGCAAATATTATTGGGAAAATTTAACTATACCTACCAACTTTGGGTTAGAAATTAGATTTGTACTACTTCCCCCTATCCTCCACCCCCTGAAAAAAAGGCATTTCATAGATTATCTAAAGTCAAGCCTAGAATTTTCCAACAGCCTTTTAGCAGGTCTGGAGAAGTTCACCTTATAATGTCAAATTTACTTACATTTATTCCTCATGTACTTTTCTGGTCCTATTTTCTGCTCCCAAGTTTAATAAGAACCATGCCATTTTTCCTACTTTTTCAATTCTGCATGATCAACTATTTGTTTCAATGGCAATAAAAGCATCTCTGAAGGCATAGTTTCACTACTTAGAGAGAAAAATGACATTATTTACTATGAAAATAAAGTAGTGTATTTACAGAAGTATATCCAGTACTGAGTTGCATTGGAATAGGCCCTTATTTCTCATGAAAACACCAAGTGAACAAACAACAAATGACTTACTGAAATATCTTTACGCGAGATCCAGAAGCAAGTTAAGGGCTTGGAACGACCAAGTGAATGTCCAATCAAGAAAAAGCCACATTCGAAATGGTAAGAAATTTCATTGTGTTTTTGCTCACTCTTGCCTCACCTCATCTCTGGTGTAGCATGGCTAGGGAAAAAAATGCCTGTTTCCTGTCTCCTCCCTCAAGACAGAAGGAAATGACTGAATGTTTTTTGCAATGTTCTGGCCTGTATGGGGGCTTCCTGAGAGAATGCTTTCTGTTTTGCTTGAGTCAGAGTTCAGATGGAAATGAAGGCATAGTGTGGACATCAGGTTGGAGGCTGCTGAAAGCAGCGATGGGCACTGTGGTGCAAGAAAAATACAGGGGGACTACATACCTGTGGGCACCTACGTGCAAGAGATTATGGAAAGAGGAATACAGTAGAACATCTAAGCCTCCAATAAGAAGCAGGGGTGAAACTCCTTAGGGAAATTAAGATATTTAAAAGCAGCCAGGTATATGGGGGGAATTGGGAAAAATGTACACGCACATACACACACATCCAGAAAAAATGCATGCCCAGAAAAGACTTCAGAAGACTTCAAGTTTTCACACTGGGCTGAATAGTAAGGGTCTTATTGTGCATAGAGGCAGTCTACAAAGACTAGGAGAGGTGGCTATTGTTTTAAGTTTGCAATCTTCAACAAAAAGCATAAGGCATACAAAGAAATAGGGAAAGATGGTCCATTCAAAAAAAAAAATAAATAAATCTCCAGAAATTGACCCTAAAGAAATACAAGCTTTGGACTTAACTAGTCAATGATTTTTAAAACAACAGTATTAAATACGCTGAAAGAATTAAAGGAAAACACAAAGAAAACTAAAAATCATGAAAACAATACATGAACACAATATGAATAGCAACAAAGAAATAGAAATCATAAAAAAGAACCAAATGTAAATTGTGGAGCTGAAAAAATACAATAACTGAATTGAAAAATTTGCTGGAGGGGAACAACAGAAGATTTGAACAGGCAGAAAAAAGAACAGGCAAACTTGGAGATAGGTCACTTAAAAATACAGATTGTGAGGAGTAAAAAGAACAAAGGATGCAGTAAAGTGAACAGAACCTATGGAACTTATGGGATACTATAAAGCACACCAATACACATATTATAGGGTTTCCTGAAAGAGAAGAGAGAGAGAAAGTGGCAGTGAGATTATTTGAAAAAATAATGGCCAAAAACCCAACTTTAAGATAAAACAAGGAAATACAAATGCAAGAAACTTAACAAACTCTAAGTAGGATAAACCCAAAGACATCTATACCAAGGCACATCATACTCAAACTGTTGGAAGCTAAAGACAAAAAGAATCTCAAAAGCAGCAAAAGAAAAGCAACTCATCACCTTAAGGAGATCCTCAATAAGATTATCACAGATTTCTCAGCAGAAATCTCGCAGGCCAGAAGGCAGTGGGATGATATATTTAAAGTGATGAAAGAAAAAAAA